TAAGTCACGGCCAACTACCAGCAGACTGGAAGGTAGCAGAGGTAGTACCCATACACGAGGGAGGATCCAGGAACTGTGTAGGAAACTACAGACCTCTCTTATTCCTCATCTACATAGACGACTTGACTTTCTGTTTGCTGACGATGTAAAAATTGTCGGTGACCCGTCTACTAATGCCATGCAGGCCGATCTGGACGAAGTTCAGAAGTGGACGGAGGAGTGACTGTTACCGCTAAATGCTTGCAAGTACAAACAGCTTCTCCTAGGGGGATCTCTCGCAGAGACGAGGGTGATAAACGGTACGGGGCCCACAGCAATCTAAATGACTGACGAGGTCAGGGACCTGGGTATCCTCATGCATGGTTCGTTCCAGTCTACAAGACAGTGTCACCAGGCCTCAGCAAAGGCTTCCAAGGGGCTGTTCTTGCTAAGGAGAACAGTAGCATCTAGGGACCCTGTAGTGTTACTACCCCTCTACAAGGCCCTGGTGAGACCCCGCCTCGAGTATTGCGTGCAGGCATGGGCGCCGAAACTTGCACGTGACCAAAAGGCTCTAGAACAAGTACCGAGACACTTTACTTGGCTTTTTCCTGCCCTGAGGACGATGCCATACACGAGGCGCCTGAGAGAGCCAAACTTGTTCTCCCTATATCATAGGCGAATGAGAGGTGACCTAATAGAGGCTTTCAAGATACTGAAAGGACTATCACAGCCTAGCAGGCAACTGTTCTCCCTCAGTGAAAACCCAGCCTTCAGAGGACACCAGCTGAAGCTGGCCAAACCTCGGGCGTTAAAGAGAGAAAGAGCGAACTACTTCTCTCATAGAGTCGTCAACGCCTGGAACAGACTTCCTGATGAGGTTGTATCGGTATCCACGTTGGAACTCTTCAAAAAAAGGCTTGATGAGGTGTGGGACGAAGTCTTCCCCGAATCAGGCTAAGGAAAAAGAAAGATCGACAGTCCTTGGTGGTAATTATATCTTCAACTTTCCCTTGAACAGGTCCCCCCCATATTCTTTTTTTAACTATACCATCCCTTATATTTCGACTACTTTCTCCTCACCTGTCTTAATCCAGCTCTTCGAACCCTCCTCCCCGAACTAGCATACTCTTCTTTTCTCACCTTAACCTATTTTTCGCATGCCTGAGGGTTTTATACTGTTTGCTGGAGGGATACTCGGACCTCCTGGTTGGCCTGTGACTGATCGGTTGGTGCTGCTTCCATCGACAGCAAATCGGATTGGCGTCCCTGCTCCGCGGCAGTACCATTACACCACCAAGGACCGATCAACCCACTGCCGTAGCGTTACGAGACACCCGTGGCCCGCAACGCAAGAACTTGGACCACCTTACTGGCTCAAGCCGCAAGTCCTGTGAACTGTCCTGTCCTGTCCTACTTCTCACCGTGTTAGTGAGAGACTTTTAATGTGAAGGCGCTCCATATTACACAAAAGAAATTTATGAATCTAACATCCGAATCCTGTTAAGTAGTCCTCGTTTGGGAACAGTTCTATCCACCTCTTATCCAACCCCCCTTTGAAGGTGTGAATACTAGGCAGGTTGACTGGTTTCTCGGGTAGTCTATTCCACCTGTTGACTATTCTACTGCTGAAGTATTGTGACCTCGCACCTAACCTACTTCTCTTCTGTACTCGTAACCCCTGGTCCAGCATACGGTACATCAGTAAAGAGTTCTTCAGGGGGAATATTAGAGAATTCCCTCCCGATTTTAAGCGCCTCTATCCAATCCAATCCAAAGTTCCAGGATGTAGAGGCCTCAGCCTCATGGTTGTCCTGATTCTGGCTCGATCGCGTCGGTATACTGATCGATCTGTATGTTTGACTGGCTTACAGCAAGGTTGATAATGTGGTGACCAACCAAATCCCATTCTACGTGTACCCTTCCCCCTGTGCATCTCATTGTTTTATCACACCAAGGCCACCTCTTTGGTCAGTTCGTGTTTGCTTTCACTGTCCTCACGCTTGCTCGCACTTCCGTATCTCTCTCTTGCT